AATATGACACAAACCAGAAAAAACTCAAGACTTTTCTTTTTAAAAAAGACTGATTGTGTTACAAACATAATTCCACTTAAAATACCGATGAGATGCTCTAAAAAGTTTCATTTTCCCTTTTTTTCTATGGAACTACCATTAAACATCAGTCACATCCACCACAGCCAGAAAGAGCACATTATCACTGTACACAAACTGCATTTCTGTATGAGCAGAATGGAGGTTACAGGAAGGTGATTCACATCCAAATGAGCCCAACAGAGAACATTCTAACAGCCCATTTGGGCAGGGTAAGTAAAGAATCAATTTAAAACTATGCAACCATCTACATGGCTAATTTGGAAATGGAAATGCCTGGCTTTTAAGACAGGTATGCCACTATTCCTGTCATTTAAACAGAAATGCCAGAGCAGGGGATGGGATTTCAGATATATTCATCCATATTTTTTTTCCCTTTAACTCCCCTTTGAAATACAGTTGACCATGTTCCTCCTGGTAAAATATACAGCACTGTTTGTGGGATAAAAAATGCCATGCAAATTTTAAAACTAACCTGAAGAAAGTATGCCAATGTTTGCGACACCACAATGGTTTACCAAGCAACCACATACTGCTAAGTGCTTTCTCAAAATATAACATATTAAAGCCTAAACCTTGGTAGAATCATCTCCCAGTCTGCAGACAACCTTCCTGATTAAAACCATGACATGGTGAAGGGTCCCAGACACACGGCCCAGGCAGCCTGGGGGAGGGGAAAGCTCCAGAACAGACCACGGGTGGAAGGGAACAATGCTCAGGATTCACTGTACCCCTTTCACAGAGGGTGGGCAGTGCTGGATGAGCTACTGAATCCCAGGATTACTGCAGCTACTCCAGCTTCTGCAATCTTGCTTGCACAAGCAGTGAGCTGAAGTTCCCATTTTCCCTTGGAAAGCCCACACCTCTCTACCTGGTCCCATGCCATGAACTTGCCAAAGACTGACCTACAAGGATCATGAAGGTCCAAGCGGCAGAGTGGCCATCTCTGCTTTACAGAAATATTCTCCAGATTAAGATTTCTAATCAAATATCAGTTTCCTATGTTAAACTAAAAGTGGTGTAGAGGTAACTCTCTGTTTGCAGATTTAACACTTACCTTTATTACAGGTAATGCTGCAGACCTGGATTGATACTTTGCCTTTCAATTACCGTGGTGGATGCTTGAGTAACAACCCACTAAAACTATTTTATACCGGCACTTCAACTTTGCTTTAGACAAAGTGTATTCAGCTGGGGTGTGAGTAAAGCAGCCAAGGAGCTGATGACCTGTGTGCTGACTACACCTGCAGCAGCATGAGAAGCAGGCAGCAAAACACGCTGACCTCATACTATTTGTCACAGGCACAGCTCCCCTAAAGTCCCCTGTAGTTATTAAAAACCGCCATTTCCCATACTAGTGACTACTTACCATACAGAACAGAACTCTTACTGGTGCTTACAGCTGAATGTTTTCATTACAAAAGCCTTTATACACAAAGTTTCTTTATCAAGTGAATATAAACTGGCAAGAGTTTACACACGTAAAATAAACACTAATAGCCTGTTCTCAATAGTCCTGCTCTCAAAAAAATTACCATAAAAGAACAGTAACGGGGATGTGCAATAAAAACCTGCTCATTTCCCACCTCATCTAATTCTGCAACGCTCCTCTCTAGCTGAACAGGAAGACTACTTTCATTTGTTCTCAAGTAATTGAGAAACATTTCAGCTGCTTATCAGCTCCTCAATCTTTCTTCCTTTCACACATTCCCCAGAATTGTTGCCAACAGGGTATTTATAAAAGATTCGGCCTCACAAAAATACTTTGGCAAACAATGTTGCAGAAAAAAAAAAAAGAGAAAAGAAAATGAAGGAGCTCTTAGGTAGAGAAGATTTAAAGGGCTGGATTGTTGTTTAAACAGCAAAAAATAATTTAAGTTGTTTAAACAGATGCAAGAACTGTGTGTGAGGGAGCACTTCCTACCCCTGGACCAGTAACTCCAGCAGCAGCCACATACCTTTCCTCTGTGGGTGGAAATGTGTGTTTATTTTGGAAGGGGTTTGTGCTCCACATCACAAATGGAAACATTCAGCTCGGGCTGAGGCCTCAGGGCAATACTGAACTGACAACACACCACATACACACACCCACAGGAAACCTCCTTCCTCCTTACTGGTTTCTCTTTCCTGAGGCCTCACCAGAGACCGAACATGCAAGAGCCCCATCTCGGCTTGCAGAGGATCAGAGCTCCGTGTACAAAGCAAACGAGTTCGTTATTACACGGGACACATCTCCACAGCTTCCTTTGCTAGCTAGCCAAATAAATGCAAATCTTACTATTACTTACTAGTAATTAAATTATCAATCTTACTACTGATTAAAAAGAATTAAAAAGCACCTTGATCACAGCACAGGCTTCCAGCACATCCCCCAAAGGGTGAACCCTCCCTCCGTATCAACTCCGGAGCTCAGCCCTTCCAACCCACTTCAACAAAGTGTCTTTCCCTTCACAAACACTGCCGAGAGCAAACAAGGAACAGTATAAACACATTGTCTCCAATCAGCTGAAAAACAAACTGAAAAACCCTTCCATATCCCATTTCCAGTTGTGTGGTTTATTTTCTCCAACTGGTGCAAGCATTTCTCACTGCTATGGCAACCCAGTTGCAGAACTGAACGACACATGCATAAAATGAAGCAATTTTCTTTTAAGTTACCACAAACAGCTACATTAAGTCATATTTATATCTCCCCTACCAAAATCTACATTTTGCAAAATGTCCAGTTCCAGCCCAGTTTTAATCTCTGATTTAATACCTCCTGCCCACTGGCATGTGGTACCTGCTGCAGTCCACTCAGTGTTACTGTGTCATCCTGTCTTTACAACTAATTTAATTGCTGTGTCCCAGATAAGAAATAAATTAATTAAATTCAATGATAATCCCTGTGGTTGCCTTTTAGTTGTAGTAGCATTTGTCACTCAACCTTGAAATTGTATCCAAATAAAACAGTTGGTGCAGACACTGCAATAAAGTTTACAGTCAACTTTGAATATCTGAGGAAAAAAGGTTCTGTCAACTTTTTCCTCTCTTTAATTTGGCATTAATATTTTCCATATTTCAAGAAATTCCTGCTACCTGTCATAAGCTTGAGCACATCCCTCCTACAGATAAAGGTAAGGAGCTGTACCATAAAGTAGAAAATCATTCCCACAGAGTAACCTTAAAAGAAAGGAGTAGTTGTCAGACAAAGGAAATTCAAAGAAGGGTCACTTAAAGGACTGTAAATAAGCCCTGGCCATTGCCCTGAGAATGAACAGGAGGTTTTGTTTCTCTGCAGGGCAGGTCAACTCCTTCCAAGGACGCTGAGCTACAAAAGGTGCATCACTGCTTCTGACAGATGAAACAACAAATGCCCAAACTACCTAATCTCTAAGATAACTACTTTCATCCACTGTTGTCTTCTTCCCAATTCATATTTTACAGCAGTAACACAGGGCGATTAAATACAAGGAGAGTGGACCAAAAAATATCTGAAAGAAACAAACTCCCAAACATACCTGAAAAACTGAAGTTATTACCTAAAAACTTAAACTTGGCAGTTTCAAGCAATTAAAAACAAAGCTGTCACAACAGAGACAGAAATAGTAACATCCCACAGAGGCAAAGCAGAAGGCGCTGAGTCTCACTAGTAACAGAAATGAAGAGCCACTGCATTAGCACATGAAAATGAATGTAGTTACTCTGACAGCAAAAACATCTGCCACTGAATTGTGATATTAAAAAGTCATTATAATCCATTATAGAACAGAGAAATCTTTTCACACAGAAATGAGCTGATACAGAGAACACAACATGCAATACTACAGAAACAGAAACATTATATTTAGCTAGAAATCGCTCTCATGCATCTTAATTCCAAAGTTTTTTTATGTACTTAAGATTCAGTGGGACTTAGCTACTTCTGCTGCCTTCTGAAAGCAAAATCCACTGTTATAAACTGCATGATATCTCACAGGGCAGATGCAACAGAATTCAAACTAAAACTTCCTGAATTCACACTTTCTACATAGGAACAACTTGGAAAGGACAGAGTTTCAATAAATTACTTGTTACAGTGTCTTCATCACGTAGTCAGGTCTTTATTTTTCTGAAATCAGTATTACTCAGGCAACACTTAATTTCTGCTGTATAAATACATAAAGTGTTTGAAACATAAGTTGTTTTGTCAATCCCCTATGTTAGGCTTGGCTCTTCTCTAATTCTCAGTCTTTGGGAATCTGGGAAGCTCCACTTGCCTGTCTGTCACCTAATTACCCAGCAATAAATAACAGTGCATATTAACTGGTTCAGAAACGTTCCCCAGCCTGAGTTTTGTGTGCTGCCACATAAACCAAGGGACAGACAAGACAAATAGATTTCTCTCAGGGCACCTGGGAGCTCAGTGCCCTCAGAGGGGAATCCATTCCTTACCTGTGCTGCTTCCTGGCCTGTCCTGCAAACCAGCACCAGTCTCTTCCCAAGCACAAAACCCACACAAGAAAGAAAAACAGGCAGTGTGGGAATAGTTTCTGGTAAGGTCAGTGAACTGGGTTTGCACACTAAATTGAGCTGAATCGTGCATGCAGAGCCAGAGTGGCCATTAGTTGTCTTTGAAACAGATAAATAACTAACAACTAAATGGAGAACTACATCTGTCCTGAGATCAGAGAAAAGAAAGGACAACTGCTGTCACATTTCACAGAAAATTAATCCATATATTTTTGTCAAAAAGCTGCTACAGGATACACAGCAATCTGAGTAAAAGCTGAGAAACCCAACATATAGTCAGATCCTCCAACAAAACTTTAGGAACAGAACTATCCTAGTAAGATATACTCTCCCCAGTAAACAGACACAAAGAATGAAAAGTACAAGCATTTCTTTTTTAAACAAGCTCATAAAAATACCAAATGGTTCACAAAGAATAAACATTAATTTACCTTTGGTTTTTTGTTCAGCAGCCTGAAAGAAGAAGAGAACAAAACAAATCAACTGTTTGTCAATATTCATAATTATACCTAATAGTTATAGGGCTGCAGGCCCAACTCGTGCAGGAAGTCCTTACATAAATCAGGCATTGGTTCCAGTTAAGAACTGGAGAATGTTAGTTTAACTCCGTTTTTTAGGAATGTAAGAATGACTCTGATTGATTGATGCCAAAAGCAGATGCCAAAGAGACAGTATAAAGTATGGCAAGGGACAGGGCACTGACCCCATCTACCCATCTAGTGTTCTCTCTCTTGAGAAAGAGGCTTTCTGAACCAAGCACTATGTCTATGAGCTTTTTAACACTCAGCAGAATTAACTTCTGTGAACTTGTCCGCTATCCCTTTGAATCCACGCACACTACTGGCTTCGACACAAAACCTTGTAAGTTTTTATCTATTTGGAACCTACCCACTTTTTTTTTTATGATTCCTAATTTAAAAGACAATGATCAATTCTTTTCTAAAATTAAAACTAGCATTGTAATCCATCAACACCTGCCCGTTACTCTTAAGAGTAAAGGGATAATTTACAACAGGAACATGAACAAACCTTTTTCTGAGCACCTTCCTTCTTTTTCTTTTCTTCCTGCTTTTTCTTTTTCTTTTCTTCCATCAAATGTTCCTCTTCTTGTGTTTCTTGTTCTTTCTCCCTGATAAGAACAAAGGTTGGGAAGAGATTTACAATAAGACCAAGTTTATCTGGAAAGGTAAACAAACCGTACCTGTATTGCCAACTTTCCACATCTCATGTCTGATAAAAGCTGCTTCTAATGCTGCAATAAAAGTACTAAAAAAAGCTGTTCCAAAATTGAAACTAACAACAAATAAACCAGTTGGCAATGAAAATTCAGAAAGGATTGTATTTAGAACGTCTTTCCATAGTCACTCCTTGATATTAGCATGTTCTAGGGAAAGTTTAGAACTGAAGAAAGGAATAAACGCAGGTAATTAGTAATTAGTGCAAGTTCTGTTGGCTTTCAACAGCTGTGATTCACAATATACTTTAAAGATCATGAGTGAGTGCGTTATTTTTGGACTACTTTTCTTTTTTTGATCAAACACGTGCTGTATTAATTTCTCATACACATCAATTTTGTTCTCTAGAACTTGTAAACTAAGACCCGGATGAATTCCAATCATCATATTTTGTGTTCATCCTATAAATTCCAGCTGAATAATTTGCATTAATACAAAATAGGACTGTTCCAGTAGCATCTTGATTAAAATTTAACCCGAATTGTCCCAAATCAAGAAGAAAACCTATTTGAAAGCTTCCTATCTCTGCTTTCTATGTCCATCACTGTAATGAATGGTTATAGCAGTGACCCTACCCAATAAATACCAATGCAAATAATTCATTTATTTCTCTATAACTATTTTATCATCCTTGACAGCTCTTCAGGTCCTGATCATTTATCAGCCTTACAGATCTCCTGAGAAGGCTGATTCTGATGGGTTGAAGCCATTACTATCACTATTATTAGATTCAATGTCTTCCAATTACTCCTCAAGACCACTTTTAGCCTAATTTACTATTGCTTTGCATTTAACTTGCCAAAGCCTACAGCCCCTCCTGCTTTTTTTTTTGTTTGGATTTTTTTCTGTTAGTGTTAAGAAAGGTTTTTTTAGTAACAAAACTCTTTTTTAATTTTTTAATCACAACAGGTCTGTGTGTGTCTCAGCTCTTTACCTGAAGGACATTCTGCACTTTGTGTTTTCAAACATTTCCCATGAAACATTTTGAATTTAAGTTTCTTTTATTTTCCTTTTAACAAGTTTGCCTATTCCTACATAGTTTAGCTTTTTATAAAGAAGGAACATTGTAATAATTTTTTTTGAGATTTCAGCTGCTGAAAGGTGTTCTGCTTTTTGGCTTTTTCGGTTGCCTGAAAATACTCATTTTGGCCACTGAAGATGCTTTAATGCTTACACAGATCCTGCAGATTTCCTTTTCCTTGTGTTACCCAAAACAATAAACACTACACTCAGCACTTCACAGGTCTAAACTTAGGTGTTAGTACCCTTTTAGACACTTTACAGCACCCAAACTATGTACAGAAGTGAGAGACATGGGCAAGATCCAAGGTCTGGAATAGCAGCTGGAGGTCAGGCACCCCTGGGAGTGCCTGGAGCACCACTGCAGGTCAGGACATCTGAAATGGCATCAGTTATCTCTGCTTCAAATACCGAATCACTTCCTGCCATGGCCAGAATTTCATCACCTGCACGACGGCTCAGCTTTATTCCGGTTCCAAAGGGCCACCTTTTAAATCTGCTACTGTAAATCGGGGTTTGAGAAACATTTGCTCACAGGAGTTGCAGGTGGGTGTTTGCAACACATGTGAAACTGCACTTAAGGAAAAAACTGTACTTTTAAATGGCTTCTTCTAGGGCTCTGCAAAAAGTGATGACTTACATTGCCAAAAGAAACTGAGTTGAAACCGTAATAGATTTGCCTTTATTCCTCTAAGCTCCGGAGGAGAACTGAAGTCCCCAGGATCTCAGGAACTACAAAGAAACAACATCCAGTCCCTTCATTTTCAGTGCTCCCCTACCCAAGTCACACCAGACTCTACAAAGCCTGTGTTCCAGTGAACTCTCCCAAACTGTCAGACTATTGCCAGGGGAAGTTCAAGCCTTTGGGTTTTTTTAAAGCAGGTGAATGAAACAAGTCAGCGCAAAATGAGAGACTTTTTGGCTTCCTCTTGTTAGTACTTAAGGAAACCCACGGCATTACAGCCATTCCACAACACCACAATTACACTTAAATCCCCTTCAATACTCAGGGCAGCATTTAAAAACAAAACCAAAAAAGCCCCCACAAAAACAAACCACCACCACTTTGCTTTTTATGCAGAGTTTTCCTTAAGCTACAAAAGTATTTACTTCCTTGTTAGGCCTCTTTTTTTAATATCAAGTTCCTTCCACAGAATACCAGGTTGGAAGGGATCTCAAGGATTATCTGGTCCAACCCTTCTTAGCCAAGGCACCATGTTCGGCCAAATCTTATGTGTACAACACTGGGAATCAACTTCCATCACTGCCAAAGTCTCCTTCCTCACACTGGACTCCACTCTGAACTTTGGTTTCCAGGTAACACATCACCTCAGTGGATTTTCCAAATCAAAGAAGAGCAAACATTTTGCTCCATTAAAAATACAATGTTTCCTTACCATATTATCACATCAATTACAACATCTGAGGTAGAAGTGCCATTCCACCCCAAAACCTGGTTGTGAGGGTTTTTCACTCCTGATACTAAAATAGCCTCAGATTAGCTCAGAAAATGATACTATAATTTTTAATGGAGTTCAATTTTCAAAACTGATTTACATAATGACACTTCTGAATACATGTGCTTTAAATATGCTTAAAATAGAAATAAAGCTCCAAGAGGCCCCTCAGATGGCAACTCTTGCTGTCACTTCTAGTCAAAAATTAGTCATCTAAGAGCAAAACAAAAGGAAAACAATAAAAACATTTCAATATAAAGTTTGGTTACGTTGTCAGAGGCACGTGTTGCAGCTTTACTTCCTGAGAGACAGTTTAATCTTTATTACAGGAAATAGGCTAAAACATTTATGAACACAAAGCTCATGTTCTAAACCAGGAGTGTCTCGGAATATCCTTGTAGGAGTTTGCCTTTTTAATATATATATATGGATTGGATGTATCAGAAGCGTGGGGGATTCTCATGAGCACAGGGTTTTACTACAGAATCAAGTGCTGTTTTCACAGGTTGCAAACAGCTTATTAAATTCGAGCCTAACCCAAGGTTATCTATAAAGTGCATGTGCTTAAGAGCTCTCAGAACAGGAAAACAAGAGGAACTGCAGGTCATGGTGAGAACAACTTGAGGACTGTGGCTCTGGTCTGTCAGTGCCTGTTGGAGAAAGGCTTATTAATCCTTTTAAAACAATAACAAATCTAGGCTGATTTATTTCTTAGGTTAAGTAAGAACTTGAGTTTTCTAGTTGCTATCAGGCATTGGATTGCTTCCACAGCTCTGGTATTTTGAATTAGAGCCAATGTGAAGTTCTGACAGCATTTTGCAGTACACCTGTTGGGATTATCCTGTTCTTAAACAAACTTCAGGTAGAGTTTAGTTGTATTATTACCCATACGGTGTTTCAGAGTTCAGAGGTTCCTGCAGTAATTGAGGACAGAACAGAGAACTGCCTCTCTTGTTCCATGTGACACTGCTCCAAACCCCAACAGCCTGATGAATTTTGTTGTATCTGTAAGATGCTGACAGTTTATTTAACAACATGGGAAAACTACCTCTTCAGCACAGGATTATTAATCTTGGCCTACAGATGCCTTTGTCTGGTTTAACCCCCCCATCTTAATTCCATAATACCTCTTGTACCTTAAATTCACATCCTGCTGGAATAACCTCCCTGGACAGTTGTGAAACTTGCTATTACTGACTGAAATTCTACAAATTGCACACAACTGCTCAAATAATGTTCTTGTTTTGACTTCCCTCACCATAAAACAGGCCCTCCTGCATTCCTGTGCAGATGTTTTTCCTAACAGTGAGGATGGGAGAAAAAAGAAATGAAAAAAAAAAAAGAAAATCTTCAAACTAGACTTGTAAGGAACTGGCAAATAATCACCCAAAGGCAGCTACCAGTGGAGGCTTTTTGGAAGGAATTAATAAATCCATGCAAGAGGGTCTGGACAGCACAGACAAGAAACACAAAGTAATCCCAAGTTCTCAAAATCTGGCATCCCACACTTTCAAACAGAGATGAAGAAAATTGCTATTTAGAAAGTTCTTCAGGATGTGATTCTAAATGGTAAGAAAGAAGTGGCCGAGATAACAAAGGGAGAAAACAGCTTGAAAAGGGATGTAAAATTGAAAAAAAATTAAAAGAGCAGCAAACTCTGGTAAGGCAGATTTAAATTCATTCAGGACAACTGAAAAACACTGTCCCCCAGGAAGAGGCAGGGGTTGTTCCTTGGAAATCACCAAGAATCTCAACAATGCACATCATCACATGTATAGGAAGAATATGATAAAGCAAGAAGTCACCACAGCAGCAGCAGTCCTTGTTTTCATGACTTCTAGAGTGGATAGACTAAAACTCCACATTTTCCTATTGCTGGTTTTGTCTTATCTTTACATGGCCCAGCTCTGTGACCTTTCTAGAGTAAACACTGGTGAAGGCAAGGAGCTGGTGTGACGTTGAAGTGCCAGCTTTGCTCCCTTGATATCCAGGCTCAGTCATTAATCAAGAAGAGTCAAGCTGGTCCCTAATTACAAGCTCTCCAATCACCTCAAAAAGAAAGCAGCATGCAAAACTAGGTCAAATAAATAAGAAGGAATATGGGAAAAAAAAAAAAAACAAACCAGCACAAACACGTGGGGACAAACTGAGGACGGCCAACAAAATATTAGCACTGTGCATATAAAAAGCAACAATAAATCAACCTTTAAGTGCTTCACTAACAAGCAAGAAGAAATATTAGTTTTGATTCTCAGTGGGAAAGGGGGACTAGTGACAGATGACCCTACGAGGGCTAAAGTGACAGTACTTTTCTTTCTGCTTTAGCCCTCTCTAAAGAGGTCAGCTGGGAACAGATGGCCAACAGCCGCCTGCGCTGGTGCTGAGCCCCCAGATGACGACACTTCTCCCAGGGATTT